CGCTGTTAGATCCTAACAGGCCTCATTTTAGAGGTGTTCCATTATACGTACAAATGATTAATTTTGAGACTTTGCACATATGTGCAGTAAACTGTTTTTACTCTTTGAGACCATCCTCCTCCATCCATCTCATACCTCAATAAATCCTCTTATTTTGTCCTATCTTTTGACTGTCACCTTCTGTCAGCACTCTAATACAGGTCTTGCCTGACCTATTGCAATTGGATTCTAATTACTGCATCTCCTGTTTGTTTTCTTCCAATCTGTTTTTTTTTTTTTTTTTATGATGTTTTGTTTTCATTTGTTTTGAGACTGAGTTTTGCTCTTGTCCTTCAGGTTGGAGTGCAATGGCCTGATCTTGGCTCACCCGAAGCTCCACCTCCCCAGTTCGAGCAATTCTGCCTCAGACTCCCAAGTTGATGGGCTACCTAGTCACAGACACAAATTTTGCAAAGATGAACTGCATGCTTTTTATTTAATTCCTCATATAATGTTTTAAAAGGATGGAGTAAGAAATACTGTGGTGTAATGGGAAAAATATTAGACTTGATTCTAGTCTTGTGCTGTTTGCTTGTTTTGACTTACATCTCCACGCCTTGCCTTTTCACGGTAAAGTGTGAATAGTGCTATTTACCTGAGTACTTCACAGGGCACGTAGACCTGTGGCAGGTGTGGAGCACCGAATGAGAGAAGGAATGGAAGCTCTTTGGGAACTCGAGTACTATGGAAACTTTCCTTACTAGTCAGTATCAAGAGTGAAGGCATTTCATTTGTTTCTTTCAGAAACAAATTTCATTCTTCTCATAGCCTGTTGCTTTCACTCCCTTTTTGTATAATTAATTACTGATGGGCATTCTATTTTTAGATAGACGGGTTTGTCTCATTGCAGATTTAGCTGTTAGTATCTTTTTTTTTTTTTAAGTCACAGTCCAAAATTGCAAATAAGCTGTTAGTAGCTTACCAGGCCTGTAGTTTACATCACTGAGTCTAATTGGGACTATGCCAAGTTTCCCAGAAGCAGTGAATTTTGGCATTCTGTTGGGTGATTCTTTATAGTATGTTCCTTAAAAAAACGAATTCCTCTTCAGAGTTACTCATTTTCAGGGCAGTGATAATGTTATACACTTGTGTGTGTCCTTCAGTTGCTTAACTCTGTATTTTCTTTTTATAGACAAACTTACTGGTGTCCACTGTACCCATGGTTTAAACAGGACTAGCTACCTCATTTGCAGGTAAGTTGCCTACCCCAGAGGTGACCATTTTAAAGTTGTTTTTGTCTGTTTACAATGGTAATGTAATCCTGTTGTAAAAAATGCAACCAGTCTAGAAATCTATGAAGTAGAAGGCAGTCTTGATCTCACCCAGCGATTACCACCATTATTAATTTAGTACACACATTTTCAGGCTCTAAAAATGCAGGTATCAACATGCATGTGATTGACTGGTATAATAGTTAGACATTCTGTTTTTTAATATGTGACAGACATCTTTCTTTGAACTTACTTGGACTCCTCACTCTTTTTAAGGGCTGTTTTCCTTTGCATACCGATTAACACCAAAGTCAGAAATTTTTGATATTATAAAAAACATTGACAACGGGAACATTTCTACATAAACATTTTTGAATGCATATGCCATAGCCCCGGAGGTAATTTCACTCAAAGTAGAATTTCTGAATCAAATCATATGTGTCCTTATGCTTTTCATGGATGTTGCCACACTGTGCTGATTTATGTTTGTTCATTCAGAAAGTATCTCCTGGGCATCTGTTATGTGTAGACACTGTGCTGGGTGCTAGCAAAGAGACTTCACTGCCCTGTGCCTCCTAACAGCCTAGGGAGGGAATAGATATTAAAGAATCACACAAATACCTATAGAATTACAACTCCTGACAAGCGCTGAGAAGGAGAGGGACATGGTACAATGAGAGCATAGAACAGGGAGGATTTGACTTCAACGAGAGGACTAGAGGTTTCTGTGGAGAGATCTGAGCAACTATCTGAAGTATGAGTAGGTGTTAACCAGATAGGACTGTTGTGGTGAGAATTGTAAACATTAAGGATCAGCAAAGCCCATGTCACAGGAAAACGTATACTGTGTTGGAGGAAGTGGCCAGGAAGACTGGGCCATGGGGGAAGTATGGCATTAAAATGGAGCTGGAAATATGGGTAGGAGCTAAAACCATGCAGAGATATGTGTAAGGTTTTAGTCACTATCTTAAAAACAATAGAAAACTGTTGAATTTTTTGTTGTTGTTGGGGATGAGTGTGGGAAACATAATCAAATTTACATTTTCAACCTATCATTTTGCTGCTGTGTGGAGACTGCACTGCAGAGGGAAAGAGGTAGAAGCAAGGAGACACGTTAGGAGGTGTTTGTAGGAAGTAAGGCATAATGGTGGAGTGGGTCAGGTCATGATGGTCATTTTGGTGGAAAGATACAGACATATTCTAGAGATATTTAGGTAGTATTATTGTCAGGAAATGGTGGTAGATTGAAGATGAGAGTATAGAAGCAATGGCTGACAGTGATGGTGACTCCCAACTTTCTAGCCCATTCTGTTGGTTATACAGTATTTTTTAGCAATAATGTTAATATTTTTCCCAATTTGTCTTTTCTTTGTTGTTGGTTTCTGATAAATACTCTGTCATATTAAGGAAGTCTCTTTCTATTTTTAGTATATAAAGCATTTTGATAAAAAATGATTCTGTATTTTCTTTCCTTTTGTTGATTAGTTAAATTATAGTAATGTACATAAATATGTAAATAGAGCTTCTGAAGTTGAGTCATCCTTGCATTCTTGAAAAATGTCTTTTTGTGGTCGTGGTTTGTCATCCTCTAATAATTGCTGGATTCAATGTGCTGATATTTTCTTAGGATTTTTATATCTATGTCTGTAAGTTGAAATAGGGCCTTTTTTGAAAAAACTTGATTATTTTTCTTTTCGTATATATAAATGACCCAAATTATGTTGTTTTGTTAGATATTTGATTAATGTAGAAGGCATGAGGCCAGATGATATGATTGAATGTAAGTGTGAGGGTTGTCACTATTTTTCCCTTTTTATAAAAGTTAAAGGTGGAAATGTAGAAGAATTTCTCAAATTTTGGAAATGAAGTTTGTAGTGCATTTGTTCCAATATGAGATAGTCTTGCCAAAACGCCTATAGATGTCTGTGGAAGTAGTGAGATATCACAGCCTGAATAGCGCATTTCAGCCTAATTTACTTTTTCTGGGAAAGATTTGCTTTTTGTACAGTTATTTCTAATAGTTTATCCACTCCTCAGTATTCAATAGGTGCCAGGGACATTGCTTAGAAAGAAAAAACTACATTGAAGACCTTCAGAATGGTCCTATCAGAAAGTCTTATTTATTTACTTGTTTATTTCCTTCCTTACTTGCTTACTTACTTATCTGAGATGGATTCTTGCTGTGTCACCCAGGCTGGAGTGCAGTGGCACAATCGTGGCTTACTGCAACCTCCACCTCCTAGGTTCAAACAGTTCTCCTGCCTCAGCCTCCCAAGTAGCTGGGGTTACAGGTGTGCACCACCATGCATGGCTAATTTTTGTATTTTTTAGAACAGAGACGGAGTTTCACCACGTTGGCCAGGCTGATCTGGAACTCCTGACCTCGTGATTTGCTCACCTTGGCCTCCCAAAGCGTTGGGAAGTGTTGCCCGTAATTCTTGTGTTTTATATGTGAGATTTGTGTGTCAGGGAGATCTCTTTTTATATAATTTACGTATCATATATCCATTCTTCTGGTAGCTTGTTTATTTGTTGTGGGAGAGGTAAACAAATAGGCATGGAATAAGGAAATAATTGTTATTTTCATACACCAAAATATAGTCACTAAATGGATTACTACATTTGGAAACCAGTAATATTGTGTGAAAATATTCTCATTAAGGAATTGGAATTTCAGTGTACCCAGGTCAAGTGGTTTTGAAGACTCAGCACATTTCATGAAGCCAGTTCACCCCATGAATTAGCATGCTAAACAAGGACCTAGGTGTAATCTACATGAGATCCAGGGTCACACAACTCCTTGGCATTTCCACACCCAGACCCAAAATTTGCAACAATGAGTCACGGTACCTCTCTCTGCTTTCCTTTTCCTAGAATTGAGGTAGAAATTAATACTGTAATTAATGAAACACATTATGATACCAATGAGAAATTTTTGCTGATCAGTTTGAACCAGGAGATATTATTCTGCTCTGTATTTTGCATTTAGCCCTGGAAAAATCAGTTACAGGACAGGGAATATGTGACTTTCAGAGGCAAATGGTAAGGGGACTTAGAAATTTTCATTGATTTTTAACTGAAGCCAAGAGTTTGATGTGGCTATCCAAAAGGATCTTATATTCTTAGGCTACATTAATGTGATATGGCTTTTAGATCAGGAAGGTTGTTACTTAGAAAGTTAATATGAATTATAAGAAAAGTACTAAAATTCTAATAGAGAAATTGCAAAGGATCTGAACAGATAAACAACAAAAGTATTTTCACTTAGAAAATGGGGAAAACCTCAGTATGGTTAAAGTGGTATATTAGTATGAGTCCTCCGGAATGATGGAACCAGTCGGATGGATGGTTGGATGGATGGATGGATGGATGGATAGATGGATGGGCTGGTGGGTCGGTAGGCGGGTGGGTAGATGGTGGGGCTTTTTTATTAGGGGAATTAGCTTATGTACTTAGGAAGGCTGAGAAGTTTCACAGTAGGCTGTCTGCAAGCTGGAGAACCAGGGAAACTGGTAGCATTCAGTCCCAGTCAGAAAGCCACAGAAGCAGGGAAGCTGGTGGAGCAACTCTCAATCCAAGGCTAAAGGCCTGGGAATCTGGTAAGGGTTGGAGAACACTGGTGTGAGTCCTCAAGTCCAAAGGCCAGAAAGCCTGGAGTTCTGATGTTCAAGAGTAGGAGAAGGTAGGGTATTCCAGCTCTAGGAGAGAGCACAATTAGCCTTTCCTCTGCCTTTTGTTCTATCCAGGCCTCCGGCCTATTGGATGGTACCTACCCATGTTGAGGATGTATCCTCCCACTCAGTCCACCCACTCACACACCAGTATCCTCTGGAAACACCGTCACAGACACTTACAGAAATAATACCTCAGCAGCTATCTAGGTATCTCTTAATCCAGTCAAGTTGACACCTAAAATTAACCATCACAAATATCAAGGTGATGTTTTGTAGACAGAGTCTCACTCTGTTGCCCAGGCTGGAGTGCAACGGCACTCTTGACTCACTGCAACTGCCACTTCCCAGGTTCAAGCAATTCTCCTGCCTCAGCTTCCGAGTAGCTGGGATTGCAGGCACCTGCCACCACGCCTGGCTAATTTTTGTATTTTACTAGAGATAGGGGTTTCACCATGTTGGCTAGGCTGTCTGGAACTCCTGACCTCAGGTGATCTACCTGCCTCAGCCTCCCAAAGTACTGGGATTAAAAGCATGAGCCACTGCCCCTGGCCAGTTTCCCAACAGTTTTTAATAAGCACTCTAGTGTAGTGGTTGTCAGGGACCTGGTTTTGTATCTGGGCTCTGTTACCTGCTTTTTGATCTTGAGTAAGATACTTAGCCTGTCTATATTTCCATTTTTCCATCAGTCAGATGGAGATTTTAGTAATATATACCCCACAGTGGTTATTGTTGACAGTTAACATGAATTTAAACAGTTGAGCATATTGTAAACACTTTCAAAAATACATTGGCATTTTCAGGCCATGCGTGTTGGGTCAGCACTTAGGGAGGCCAAGGTAGGAGGATTGCTTGAGCATAGGAGTTGGAGACTAACCTGGGCAACATGTTGGAACCCTGTTTGTTTTTTTTTTTTCTTTTTTGAGTCAGATTTTCACTCTTGTTGCTCAGTCTGGAGTGCAGTGGCACAAGGCTAGGCTCACCGCAACCTCCGCCTCCCGGTTTCAAGCAATTCTCCTGCCTCAGCCTCCTGAGTAGCTGGGATTACAGGCATGCACCACCCACTACGCCCAGCTAATTTTATGTTTTTAGTAGAGATGGGGTTTCTCCATGTCGGTCATGCTGGTCTCCTGACCTCAGATGATCTGCCCGCCTCAGCCTCCCAAAGTGCTGGGATTATAGGCGTGAGCCACTGTTCCTGGCCTGGAACCCTGTTTTTATTAAAAAAGAAAAAAAAACTTTTTTAAAATTGACTTTTCTTTTGCAGTTTTATTGTTTTGTTTTGCTTTGCTTTTGAGACGGAGCCTTGCTCAGCTGCCCAGGCTGGAGTGCAAAAACACATTCTCGACTCACTGCAACCTCCACCTCTCAGGCTCAAGAGATTCTGCAGCCTCAGCCTCCTGAGTAGTTGGGATTATAGGTGTGCAGCACCATGTCTGGCTAATTTTTAATTTTTTTTATTTTTAGTATACACGGGTTTCACCGTGTCTTGGTCTCAAACTTCTGACCTCAGTTGATCCACCCGCCTCAGCCTCCCAAAGTGCTGGGAACAGGCATGAGCCAGCATGCCTGGACTGAAAATTAACATTTTTAAAAGATGTAAACCAACAGTTTAAAAACATGTTGCTAGTGACATTGAAAATTGGTTTAAGCCTTTTGAAGAACAATTTCAAGAGCCATAAAAATGCTTTACCTAGTAATTTGATTTTGAGCCTAAGGAAATACTTCAAAATGCAGAAAAAGCTATATTAACCCTTCAGCACATTTCTCAAACTCCTTACCATGTGTCAGACCTTGGACTAGCTCAGGATACAATGTTTTGCAATGTTAATCCCAGCATCATGTGCAGTCGTGGAAAAACTCGTAGCTGCTGTATATCCAACAGTGGAGAATGTAGCTAAATAATTATTATATCCATACTATAGCATTTTATAAAGCCATTGAAAGTGGTAGCTCATTTATGATAAGTGAAAATAATAGGCTGTGATTCAACAGTCAGAAAAAGATGCTGGGGAAAGGAACAAAAGGAAATACTAACTAACTGAATTATATTAAGTGGGATTGAGGGCTCTGCAGCTGGGGGTTATTTTTTCTTTTCTGAGGTTTCCAAATTTTTTTTTATAATTATATAAGATTTTCTGATATTATATTTATTCAAATTTGTTGCATGTACCATGGTTAAAGTTGTTCTACACTTTATAATTTATGTATATTTGTTCACAAAGTGAAAGTAGCCGTGTGTTTTCAGTACTAAACAGCTTATTGTGTCTTATGTCAACCCTACCAGACTTGGGAGAGAAAGTATTTAAGTAGAGTAGTATAGGCATGCATTTCATGCACTTATCTCTGTAGGGAAAGGTGGAAAGGCTTCTGGGAATCCACTCTGTGCCAGGGCATTGTGGGTAATTGAAATGTATTTTCTTAATTTAGCTTCGTAACAGCTAATGAAGGTGGAAAGTGTTATCCCCATGTTATAAAGAACTTAGGGAAATAAAAGTTAAGCAGTTTATCTGCTAAGGTCACACAGGTAGGAAACAGTAGAGTATATATTATTTTGTAAATATATGAACTTAAAATATTTTATAAAAATATGATTTTAAAATAAATAAAAATTATTTTATTAATCCTAGTAATGGCTTATTACTTTTTGTTTTGCTTTAAGAATGTTTTCACAGAATCCAAATGTTTACCAAAGAGGCCATATCCCTCCTCCGGGTCCCCCTGGAGAAGACTATTCATACAGGAGGTACACTTGGAATGTGAAGCCAAATGCCAGTCGAGCAGCCCAGGAGAGAAGAAGGTGGTATCCTGACAATTACTCCGGACTATCCTATCCAGCCTATTGGGAATGGACCCAGTGATACAAACCTGTCCTGGAATTCCACCTGGAGACCAGAGCTGACCTGAAGATTACAGGTGTGACTTCTAATTAGATCAGGTCTAATGAGGTTTCTTTATGGTTCCCTTATGTGTTCAAAGCTTAAGGAAAAATTATATTGCTGTTTACCTCACTAGGAAAGTGGCACAGTGTTAGTGGTCTTGTGTGTTGTTGTGAAGGTGAACTGAAATAGTCCGTCTCACTGGCCTGTGCATAGATGGTGAGTCAATGGTGATCTATATGCCATGGTCTTTTCTGGGTCAGCTTCAAGCTGCTGCAGTTCACTTGGCTGTGCCCCATGTTATCAGCTACACCTAGAGCTGTGAGTCCTTGCCAATTCCCTGGTGGTAGATTCCCTTGTTTTCTACTGACCTTTCTCAACTGTGATCATATATGTATAAGGTAACCCAAACCTATTAGAGATGAGTCCTGCATCTTATTTTCTAAAACACCTATCTCATAGGCGTTAGACATAAGGCCATCATCCATGGGAGATTTTGTACATTTCTTTTAGTCCACCCAGCCTTATCTTCTGCCATCTTCAACTTCTATCCAAATTTTTTCTTTCAGTCCTAACCACAGATTCTGCATCTTTCTTCTGCCATTTCCCTCATTTCTGATTCTTTGTATAAGCCCATGAAATCTCTCCTCTTTTGACCTTCTTAATCCTGGACCACGTTCCTTGCTCTTTCCTCAGTTCTTCTGTCTATTCTCCCACCATCCATCTTTTAGTTTCTTCTTATTTTTATTTTATTTTATTTTATTTTTCTGAGATGGTGTTTTGCACTGTTGTTCAGGCTGGAGTGTAGTGGTGTGATCTTGGCTCACTGCAACCTCCGCCTCCCGGGTTGAAGCAATTCTCCTGCCTCAGTCTCCCAAGAAGCTGGGATTACAGGAAGCCACCATCACACCCAGCCATTTTTTGTATTTTTAGTAGAGATGGGTTTTACCATGTTGGCCAGGCTGGTCTCAAACTCCTGACCTCAGGTGGTCCACCCACCTTGGCCTCCCAAAGTGCTGGGATTACAGGCATGAGCCACCGTGCCCAGCCATAATTCCTTCTAAGGCAGCCTTTGATCCAACCCCCAAAAGAAAACCCGCAGTCAACAGCATCTCAAAACTCAAAAGCCTCTTTATTACTTATCTATTACTTCTATTAGATTTCTTTATTAAGTTTTAAAAATATATTATTGGAATGAATAAATTAGTATCTGTCTATTTATTTGGAAAACCAGCTGGTATCCGAAGTAAAGCCAACAGTCTCAGCAGCTCTTAGATTCTGTAGCCATAGTACTGAGAAATTTCCATATCTTTTTCCCTTTGGATGCTGCAGTTTCCCCAAAGAGGTGTGTTTGGCAACATTCTCACGCTC